TAAGGGTTCAATTATTAATTTTTATTTTACTAATTCATTTGAATTAGCAAAACTAATTTGAAAAACAAAATTTTTTATCTAGAAAATTAATTATTAGTTATCTTGTCTCCGAAACGTGACTCCTGGTTAGGGTTTTTTTTCTATAGATAAATTTGAAAATTATAGTTAAGGTTGGTTTTCAAACAACATTATGTGGTGTAGCATAATAATTTCACTTTAGTAAGGACTACATACTGTTTGATATTACCACGTTTGAAACAAATAACACTGTCAACGGGTTTCCGATTAAATAATATATTTCGTTGGTAAGTATAATTTGGCACAAACTTAATRTATAAAACTATTTAAGACCAACAGCAATRAAACAAAAATGTTACTTTTWTCAATTTTATTTMAGATTAATATGTTTTTAAAACTAATTGATTATTGAATAACGTACAACTTATTTTAACGATTATTTCTCATTCTTATTAATTTTAATCTAGTCGAGCATACTTARAGAATTAATGTAAGACATAATATTATTTTCCCTGCATATTCACACATTTTCGATATTAATTTTAAATGTGTGCATCATGCTATGACTTTTGTAATTTTTTTTATAGACAATTCATTTTCTCAAAAAATTATCTCAAAGTTTATATTAAGTCCCCATACTAAAAGCCAATTGATCTCAATCTTTGTGAACATTGAAAATATGAAATTTAAATCACTTACAATATTTTTTGGTTACCTAATTAAAACGCATATAACGTTATGGGTATAATAGTTAATTGMAAATATAAAAAAGTGGGCTAGTGAGTATCGCTCTGCTGTATTGTAAGATGGAGAGTAGGTCCATTTTTCGCGATCTTTACATATTTCGTAATCACTTGAACTTTAAATGCTTATAAACAAAATGGTGACTGAAGAATTTTTTTTTTTTTGCTACGATACTTACAACTTGTAATAAATTTTATATTAAATTTTAAAGATTTTTTAGACAGCCAATTTTTTTTTATAGGCATTTCAATAAAAAAAACTAAGAAGAATCGAAAATTTCATTTGCCTATAAAAGCTTAAAAAAAAAAATAATAATATTTTGAAAATTTATTTGTAAATAGATTACGCTAATATAAACATTTGGTGAAAATTTGAAGCATTTATAATAATTCGTTTTTGAGTTACAGTAAAATAAAAAAATCAATTTTTGTTTAAAACCGATTATTCGTAAGCATTCCCGTTTTTTCTTTGTTTTTTTATGGTTTATCCTGACGCTTTTGAAAACTATTGAAAATTTTACTTTTGGTYCCGAAAGTACCAACTAGAGTACCAACATTTTTCTTTTCAAAGAGGTGCTGAAATCATAATTCAAAACACTATTACTACTCCAAAAYGTGATGACAGACACACAAAAAATTTAAAAAAAAATTTAAAAAAAAACATACATCATTGCAAAATCAATAAATTTCTAACTTCGCTCAGAATGTAATATCAAACAACCTAGTGTTATGAAATAAGTAAGTACAAAATATTTTTACTTATATTATTTATTTATTTTTCACTAATTTATAAGCAATAACAATTTAAAACTTTAAAAAATTTAAGTCTTCAAATAATGTTGTTTTAATAAGCTTTTTATCATTTTTCCAGTCTATTCTTGCATACTTTGATCAAGATTTAGGATTGTAATCGAATGCTTCCAAATAGAAATAACKTCATCATTACTATTAGTTACATGTTTTTAAAATCTTAGAAACAGTTTGGCAACAATTAATTAATCAATATTGACCAATATGCTGTTGCCTTGCATCTTCTATCCAAATAACACCACTTACCAAGATAAAAAATATACCTATAATACCATAATATTATTGTTTAATRTCATTAGTGTTACAATATTATTGKGCGCCCATTACAATAATGGTTGTGTAAGGGATTATAAAAATTATTTTAAAACTATATTATTATTATATTTTTAGTAAGTACTTAGTTTAGCATATTAAGCTTTATTTAAATTGTATAGTAATTAATTATATTATTTTATTTGCAATTATTATAATATAATGTACGTTCCTAACAGGTAATAATGTAATAAAATTGTATACATTTTTTATTCACAGCTTCCGTCTTTCCAGCCATCCCTCCATCGCTCATTAACTTGGTTACAATCAAATAATGGTTTACCGAGTTTTTTATTAACTTGATTATGTACACGACAAAGCCAATCCGATAGGGATTGTTGAGAATTTGTTTCAGGAGGTTGACTATCTAAACTGTGGAAAAACAAGATTTACAATTGCTTATTTTGAACAAGTTTATATTCTCTTTGACTTATAGCCATGTGTAGTTATATTATAAACATCAAACTATAGTCAGTCTTGTATAAAAGAAACTTTTCAAAATTATTTAAATACTCAGTAAAAAAGTTTATASCTACTTAGAACTTTGTTTATGTTATAAGTCTACAGTAAGTACCTATTCATTTTCATGGTTTACGTGCATTTTGTTCATAATCTTGCTACATTTGATGAAACTATAAATTATTTATCTGTTTTTTATTTCAAAGTAAAAATATTTTATTTAATACTAATATTATATTG